TGTAGGTGCTGGGTACACAGGTGAATTTACTTTGTGAATATTAATTGAGCTGGATAATTTTGATTTGCATATATGTTGTACTTCAATACATTTACAAAAAAATAAAAGCTCAACTATGCAAATCACATTTGAGCTTATTTCCCCTCTGAGGAAAGAAAAGAGCCATATTCTTTTGGCACATACATATCTGCACTCTCAACTTTGGAGTGGAAAAAGAAATGTCACGTATGGTTCTCTAAACTGAACTGAACTTCACTTGTATTCTGGGTCCTTCTTCTCATCCTGTCCTCCCATACACGTCCCATTCTGCTAGTGGTAGAAGCAGTATCAGGCCCATCTCTGTCTTTCCTCGCCCGTCTTCCTGGATTGCGTGTGCGTATTAGTGGTTCCATATAGGCCAGAATGGGGCTTAGGAGGGCTGATCCTGGTGCTAGGTGATACCCACAGGGAGGGCCCTGTTCTCATCAGCCTCTGGTTATTTACCCACACAGATCACTGCTTTGTCCTCTCCTCCCACCACAAGGCCTCTTCTACTTCACTCTAGACTCAAAATCAAGACCTGACTTGTGCATTATTCTGAAGCTATAACCGCTAGCACCCAGCTGTCCGAGTGTATGTGTGTAGGCGGGGGGTTGGGGGGGTAGGGGGGCAGGTAGTGGTTACAGAAAATACCAGAGGGAAACCACGGGTCCATATTTCAAAGTTACAATCCCCTCACTTTTTCATCTGATAAACATGGTGTTTATTTAGGAGCCTGGGTAATCTATTTGGTGAGTGGATTTCCCAAAAGAGGAGGAACAAAAGGCTATCCAGGGTGGGATGGGATGGTAGGAGAGGGCAAGGGAAAAGCCAGTGTGTCATTTCCTAAGGCTGACATGACAAATGACCATAAAGTGGGCACCTTAAAACAAAGTTTATTCTCTCATGATTCTAGAGGCTACAATTCTGAAGTCAAGGTGTTGTCGAGGTTGGTTCTTTCCAGAGGGTTCAAGGGAGTCTGGTCCATGCCTCTCTCCTCGCTTTTGGTGGTTGCATTGGATTGGAATGCATCCTTGGCATTCCTTGGCTTGTAGAAGTATCATTCTAACTTCTGCATCTATCATTACGTTGTATTATTCCCTCTTCTTATAAAGACCAACTCATTGAATTAGGGCCCACCTGAATCTTGACTTAATCACATCTGGGATTAGCTTGCTAGGACTGCTGTAACAAAATACCACCAACTGGGTGACTTAAACAACAACAATTTATTATCTTATAGTTCTGGAGATTAGAAGCCCACAAGCAACCTCTCTCTACAGTGTTGCTTCCTTCCAAGGACTGTGTGTGTATCTGTCTCTGTGTTCCAATTTCCCCTTTTTATAAGGACACCAGTGATGCTGGATTAGGACCTCCCCTAATGATCTCATCTTACTTTAATTACCTCTGTAAAAACCTTATCTTAAAATAGGGTCACATTCTGAGGTACTGGAGTTTAAGACTCCATATTTTTTTGTGTGGGGGCACCATAGGACAGAATTCAACCCTTAATAATCTGCAAAGACCCTATTTCCAAATAAGGGCACATCCACATGTACTGGGAGTTAGGACTTCAGCATATCTTTTTAAGGGACACAATTCAACCTATAGTAGTCAGCTCTCCAGAATCCCTGAGAACTTCCAGAATACTGACTTCATCTCCCTGTAGGTCAGGATGTGATTCTAGGAAACCTTGATTCAGTGAGCCCTGAGCCTCCCCAGCATCCTATATGTACCTCTAATGTAGTGCTTATTGCATCATGTTGAAACCTGTGTGACATCTGTTTGTGTATCTGTCACCAACACCACCCCGCCATCCCTACAAGTACGAACACGCTGCCCAGGACTGCGAGCTTCCCCAGAATAGAGACTACATCTTATTATTGATATTTGCATTCTCAACTCAAGGCCTGGCACAACATAGGTGCTCAATGAGTGTACAACTGAATTTTTGGCCTATCACTTACAAAAATTGTCTTGTTTCATACTTTGCCATCAGTCATGAGCAAATAAGCAAGTCAAATAAGCTCTTGGATAATTACAAAAATTATACAATCACAGGCTGTCAGAACTCGGGGATACCCTAGAGATTTTCTAATCTAGGAATGGCAGATGCCCAATACGCATCTCTATGCTCCCACTCTGCACCCGTGGCAGACATCACTAATCTATCATGGCATTCTTTCCCACTAAGCTTGGATACAGCTTCAGAATTGTTTTAAATATATAACTCCAGAAGATGAAACAAATTTGCTATTTCTTGGGACTTTAACCCCATTCCTTCCAACAGATGAGAAAATTGATTCATCATAAGGAAACATGTCTAAGGCAAGGCATGACAGTGGCGAAGAGCTAGAAGCCCCGTCTCCTAATTCCTAGGGCCATGTTAATCCTTCCCACCCATCTCCCTAGGGTTTTCCAAAACGTTCCAGTGAAACTTGCATCATTGATGTAGTATTGCATTAAATAACATTGAATCACACAGTGGGAAAGACCATGCCTTTTTTAAACTTTCAGATAATATCAAAGAAAACGTCTCGGTTTGATGCTATTAAATCTTCAACACTTCTAATTCTTATTTTTTAAAGAGTCTCCAGTAGGCAATAGTATCTAGTTAGAATTTAATATCACCACATTGTTTTCACTTATGCTTATGATTACCATCCAATTATGACAAACTTTCCACATGTGGTAGTGATAAAACCTTCCTTTGGAAATAAATGTCAGTATAGAAAAAAAATATCAACTACATATGGTATAGGTGGCACCCAGATGTGGCGAAATAAAAGAGCTAGGGAAATACTATGTCGCACCACACACACTTATCCGTATGCAGGGCTCTTGGGTTTTCTCCTCTCCAAGCCAAATAATGCTTGTTTTCTTTTTTCTACTACAAAAAGATATTTCCTTTTGCTTCTCCTCCTGCCTCTTATGTCTTTCCCTGCTCCCAATCAGCCTCTCCCCGGGTTCTCGCCTGCCAGCTCCCTTGCCTCCCCAGCTGCTAGACTCTGTCATTTTCAGCACAGCTCCCTCCATCTGCCAAAACCCAGTCCGAGTCTGCCTCTGCAAGCCATATGGCCTGGCAGACAAGGCAGGCCCGGTGTTGATTCAAGAGTTGAAAGCAAACCCAGCTTAACCCCCATCCTCCCTTCCAAGCAGGAGAGGAGGCAAATTTTGCAGTCCTGTCTCTTCTATCCTCAGCCCGAGGAAGGCATAGGCCTCAGCTGGCTGCATGGTGCTTGGCCCCTCCTGTCCGGGCTCCCTGCTGCCTTCCTCCTCCACGGGCACTATTCTGAGACCCTTCTGGGCCCTCTCTTAGAAAGGAGCATTTTGCACTCCTCGTGGGATGGACTTCGAGCAGACAGATCTTAGGTCAGGAGGGAATGGGCCAGCTCGCCTCCCCTGTGGTGCAGGGAAGTGAAGGCCCATGAAGGCTGGCCACAGGTAGAACGAGGGCCTCAGGGCAGGACGGGCAGGATGCGGGTGCTGCACCCACAGTTCCTGTCTTGGAAAGCCAGGCGGCTGGTCCTGGAGGTCACCATCCCCACGTGTGCTCTCCAAAGCGAGGTCAAGCCAGAGCAACCCACTGGAGTAAAAGAAAAGAAGAAAGTGAACAGAAAAAGGAGGGAAGTGAGGGAAAAGAGGAGTGTGGAGGGGCCCCTCCAAGACTAGTTGCAGAGTTTTCTGAGATCAGAGAAAAGGCATCGTAAAAGGTCATTGTAAACTGTAAGTGGGTTTGACTTTATGCAAAGGCCTTTATGCAAAGGCCCTGTGACAGTAGGAAGAAGCGCTGGCTGAGCCCCACTGTGTGCTGACATTTGGCAAATGTCAAGTGCCTTCTACATGTTGGGTGCCAAAGCTCCAGCAGTGCAGAGGCAGATGAGTCCTTGCCTTCGTGGGGCTGACATTCCAATGGTTTACTAAAGTCATAATAAGCACATGGGCACTAGATTCAGACCGCTTGCATTGGAAGCCTGCTGTCCTGCATCTTAGTTCTATGACCTTAAGTAGCCACTTAAGGCCAGTAAGTATTCTCACCTGTAAAATGGGAATAATAAAAGCCCCTCTTAAAGAGTTTTGGTAAGGATTCAAAGAGAAAATTAATATATGACATCGTGGGTATGTGGTGATATTTCATTGTGATTTTAATTTGCATTTCCCTAATGACTAATGATGTATCTTTTTTGGCAAGGGATCCATTCAAATCCTTTCCCATTTTTAGTGGGTTGTTTGCCATATTACTAAGCTATAAAAGGTCATCATATAATTTAGATGCCAGTCCTTTATCAGATATATAATTTGCAACTATTATATATTCCCCCAAACTGTAGCTTTGTCTTTTTGTTTTCTTAATAGTGTCTTTTGAAAAGCAAAACTTCTTAGTTTTATGAAATCCAATTTATTAATGTTTTCCTTTTATAGATTGTGCTTTTGATAGCATATCTAAGAAATCTTTGCCTAACTTAAGTTTTATAGTTTTATTTCTTACATGTAAGCCTCTGATCCATTTTAAGTCAATTTTTTATGCATGGTGGGAGATTAGGGTCAATTTTTTTTTTTTTTTTTGCATATTGGTAACACAATTATTTTATTTCTTTTTTGCAAATGAAAAAGTGAGGCCCAAGGAAGTCAAGTAAGGAGCCAAAAGTGCTTGAGTGACACTTGAGCTCAGATCACCTGATTCCAAATAAAAGGCCGTTTGCATGTTGCCTCCACTGCCTGAGTTTTTCTTCAAGGTGGAGATAAGACCCAGGCTTGGAGGCAGACAAACCTCATATCAGGTCCTGGCTCCATAATTTACTAGGTCAAGTTACTAAGACATTCCAAGCCTCCGTTTTTTTTCCATTTATAAAGTGGAGCTAATAAGAATGCTTTCTCATGGAGCTGTTGTGAGGACTATTTGAATAAATCAGAGAAAGCGCTTAGCCTTGGCCTGCCATTTAGCACGTGCTTCATACAGCTCAGAGTGGTGGAATGGCTTTTCTCCTCTCCTCAGCCCTGGCCTTGACTGGAGCCCATACTCAGCCTCTTCTGGGTCTTGGCACACTCTAAACTGACACAGCAGAAGATCTGGGGTAGGCTGGAAAAAGGGGCAGACGCTTTCTACCATAATAATCCGGTGGGGTTGTATTATGCAAGTTGCTTTATCTCAACCCTAGAACAGTAGATTTGTGTAATTGACATTTCACTCTGTAGCTGTTTTAGCAATTCATCCCATCCGTGTCCTGCAAGCTAGAGGTACAGGCAGATTAGAGATGAGAATCGGTGGAAGACCCGCTGTACGATAGCCACCAATCCTCCCAGCCACCTGATATCCATGCCCTGGGTAATCCCTTCCCCCTGAATGTGAGCAAGATCTGGGAGCTGCTTCAAACCCACGGGATGTGGCAATATGCCTCCGATATGAGTCACTTCTGTCATTACATTGCATAAGATTGTAACACCTGTCTTATGAAAAGGACTCTTGCAGGCTTTGATGAAGCGTGCAGCCCTATTTGGAAGACACACACGGCAATGAAGTCTGAGCAGCCTTTGGCCTACAAACAGCGAGAAACTGAGGGCAGCTTCTGCCTGTCGGGCAGCAGGAGGCCGAGCCACTCAGTCCAACAGGCTACAAGGAACTGAATTCTGCCAACCACCCCATGAGCCCTAAAGCCAGTCCGTCCCCGGTGGAGCCTTGAGATGAGATGGCAGTCCTGGCCTACACAGTGGCGAAAGCCCTGGGAAAGCCCTTAGAACCAGAGACGCCCAGCTAGGCCACGCCTCGACTCCTGGCCCCAGACATCGTGAGATAATGAACATATGCTTTTTTAAGTCACCAAGTTTGTGGGAATTTGCTATGTAGCAATGGAGAACTGACGCAGAAGTCAAGATGAAGCGCAGCCGAGAGCAGACGAGGTGCAAACTTTGGGGACGGGAAAGGGGAGGGTCGCCCTTCATGCCATCTCTGGAGTCTCCCTCTATCCTTTCAACATGTCCAGCGACCCACATGGAAAATCCTGCAAGCCAGCGACTCTCGGGCAACAGAAAGCCCTACCACACCTGAAATAGCAAAAACACAATCCCATTTTGGTCGTTCTGCTGCCTAGTCCCTTGTAATAATCAGCATTGGTCTGTAATGAGATTTGAAGTGTCCCTTTTCTCCTTTCTTTCAGATACAGCCAGCCACAAGCCAGCCTTGTGCCTCCTGGGCACAGCCTGAGGTCAGCCTTTTGTTTCTTGCTCTACCCGTCCTTCCTCAGCGTGCTAGTAGTGGCTCTGGCCTCTCCCTCGTTGGCGACCAGAAAGGATGGGCTGGTGAGTGAGCAGAACAGGGAAAGCCCTTACCTGTCTGGCACTGCTGTGAGATGACTCTGGGCGCTGGGCCTGGCAGGGGTGGAAAGCTGGTGCTTTCTTCTCTGAGCTCTTTGGGGTGACTTCAGTGGCTGTCCTGCTGCATCCTCCGGTCTGCTATACCCATGATGCAGGCAAAAGCTCCCCTTCGTGTGGCTGTTCCCTGCTTCTCTCCTCAGCCTCTGTTTGTGTTCCGAAGGGCCACATCGTACAGTCCTTCCCTGTTTGGGTGACCTGCCTTCTGGCAGAAGTCCTCTTGCACAAGATTCCTTGTAAGACTACCCCATGCTGACGTTCTTACTATGCATTCCTCATCTGGCGCCCAGCGATCACTTTGTCCCCTCTGTTGGCACCTGTCACCCACCAACAGAGGGGACAAAGTTCCTCCCCAACATGGCAGCAACTCCATCTTCTCTGCCTCCCATCCACAGTGGAAATCCTTCAGAGTTGGACAGAGTGTATCGACCAATAGTCTGCCATGGCCACCTCCATCTCTAAGGGACATATATCAGCATGCCACGTGGTCTTCTGATACAGCTCTTTACACTCCAAGTAAGGGGGAGACCACCCCCAGTTCTACCCTTGGAAGATGGGACTCACTGAATAGCAGCATATTAATCCAAATACAGTGTGTCATAAATTCGTTTTCAAAATTGATTCTTAAGCCTTCGTGTTCTGAAATAGGTTTTTTTTTTCCTTTAATTATATTTCGGTTTATCGCCTCATTTTGGAATTTCACATCCATTGCATTGTGGTGCTCCCATTGAAGTGATGTCAGTTTAACATCTTGTCGTGTGATATTACTGGCCTCATGGTCTTCCCCCCAAACCACTCCCCTTTCCTCTCTGGCTAACTGGAGTGACCGAACTGAAGCTAAGTTGGCTGGTTAGCAAAGCTCAGATTCTTTTTAGTATGTGCCGGCAGCCTCTGGTGGTCGGAGGCAGGAGGAGGAGATGTATCCCCCCATTGGGCAACCTTGCTCCATGGTGGTGTCTGAAAATAAAAGCAAGCTTCAGGCCAAATTCCACCGGCCATGCAGATGTTTTCTAACAAGCAGGTGAACAACCACTTGTATCTTGAGAAGGATTCCTCCTCTCTCTTGACTTCACGGTCCCCGCCAAGCCCCTTGCAGAAGCAGCTCCCCAAGAAACGGATTCCCTTCAAGTGTGATCAGAGGCCTCATCCCGGGGTCACCTAGCAGGATAGACACTCCAGGAAGCGAGAGGACACGGGGCCAATGTGCCCCAGAACTTCCACCTCTAGTACTGATGACCGAATGTGCTGGTGTCTTCTACCTTATTCATTCACAGGCGGTGGACCCTGCTACCCCACTCCTAACTTGATCTTAAGCACAACTAATTTCACCAATAAAAAAAATCATGCCTAACATTCCATATGCTAATTAACTAACCCAAAAGTATTGATTCAGACAAGGACTCTTCACGTACTAATTAGCCACTCATTCCTAGAGTGTTGATGGGTGTTAACTCGCACACATACACATCATACCACTTAGACTGAAGTATTTTAAAGTAAATTACCATGCACACAATATAGCACTGACAGAACCCTGATTTTTTTCTTTTTTTTGCATTGCTAAGTCCACAGCCCTAAGAGATGAATCATAACTGCTTTTGCTAATTCAATCATGACAAGCTTGGCATCTTTTTGTCAGACACTCACTTTTCCAGCCTTTCCCTGTGGTTGTACATGTCTATATGATGGGCACCAGGCTATGAAAAGGAAAGGATGCTGAGAAATATTTTCCTCCCTGATAAAAAGGGGACCCAGATGGGACAATTTCTAGACACCTCGGTTGACTTTGTTTCCTGTGTTTGTATGTGATTAGGAGAAAATGTGATGGCTTGCGCTGAGGCAGCCACCCTGCATTCATGAGGTCTACAGGATGAGGACGAAAAACTAAAATGCTGAGCATGGCAGAATGGAATGATCTGAGTTCTGATGATCTTGTTAAATTACTATTTTATAGCCGGGCATGGTGGTGCATGCCTATAGACCCAGTGACTCAGGAGGCTGAGGCAGGAGGATCGCTTGAGCCCAGGAGTTTGAGGTTGCTGTGAGCTATGAGTTAGGGGACTCAAGTTCTTCCTCCTCTCTCAGTACTTTGAAATTTCCCATCACCCAATGTCATTGCTGCTACTTCTGAACCGTTCACCAGTGATAGAAGTGAGGGACTGGGTAACTTTGGAGGGTGAGTCTGGGATGCACTCATTTGTTAATAAATTATGCTTTGGCAACTGAGAAGAAGGTGGCACCTGGAACCAGTTGGGTTCGAGCTCCCTGGTCCCCAAGTTCCCTTTTATGGAATTTCTTATTCTCTCCCACTTCATCCAGCCCTAAAATTTAGGCTGCCCAGAGTCCCTTACCCCCACTCTTATTCTCTTCCAAAATCCTGTCAATGGAAGAATTTTGGAAGTTACAGCAACAAGACACCTGAGCATTTGGGAAGGACAGGCATTTAAGACTAGGCTAAGGTGTGACTTTATGAGACTTGTATTTCATGTCTGTCATTTTGGAGTGTTCTGGCCAGTTCTAGCTTCTGTTTCTTCAACTGTAAAATCAAAAGAGTAGCATCTTCCCTAAAGATCTCATGGGCTTTGGATAAGAATCAAATAAAGTAATTTAATTGAGAGATGATTTAGGACACTGCTTAACCACTTCGGTAGGGCGCTCACCGGCCGCGAAACCTTGCCCACAGCCGGCACTCAGAGTCCCCATGATAGTTTGTGCTGTGCATTGGCGACGAATCCGTTTTGCTCTTGTGTGATGAGGAAAGCTTTTAAGCACTGAAAGCTTGTCTTACTTTACAGGCAGCTTTACTTGTAACGCAAATCAGAATAGGTAACACATACATATATGTTTTCATGACGCTATTTTTAAATGTTCACAATTTTATTTTGATAAATGAAAAATTAGAAAAGTCATTATCACGGCTGTCAGCTAAAGTCGCTGTGCTGTGTTCATCTGTGGCTGTCGACTGTAGTCGACGCTGGTACCAAAGTGGTTAAGAGCATGTACCCTGGGGCTAGACTGCCCAGGATAAGAACGCGATTCTGCCACTTGTCAACTGAGTGGCTTTGAGCAAGCTACTGAACCTCTCAGTGCCTTAGCTTTCTCATCTATAAAATGGGAATAAAATGATACCTATTTCAATAGGCTTTTTCTTAGGCTTTGATGGGTTAATTACATGTAAAGCCCTTAGAATAGCAACGAACAAAACAAGTACTGTGCGAGTATTGCTGCCAACTCCTTCACCATCATCGTCATCATCACAGCTAAAAGGACTCTGAAAAATGGAAGTGTACTATATGGAAGCATAGGGGATAACAATGAGACAAGATTGATCATCCCAAGTTCAGAATAGAGGAATATTGGTGCAACCAACGGGATTTATGATTTTTGGGGGAAAAACGAAAGAAGAAATAAGAAAACAAAAGAAACTGAAGGGGAGGGGATGAGAGGGGGGTCAGAGAGAAGGAGGGAAGGGGGAAGGGAGGGGACGAGAGAGAAAATATATCTGGCCAGTGACACTGCACAGAGAGGAAATAGGGCTAAGTGACAAGAACAGAAAGCAACTGCTCATTTTCTTTTCAGCAAGCCTCGCTGTAAGTTTAGAGGGAACATCATTCAAAGTGCACCGTTTCCCGCAGAGTGTAATGTGGCTTACCCACAATTTCATCAGTTGTGCCCAAGCTGCATTAGAAGCATAGAAGCCAGCCCTTCACCTCAGGCCACTGCCTTGTGCTGTCATTATTTCCATGACACACAAAATCTTTCCCAGGAAATGGAACAGAGGAAGTAACTGCACTATCCGTAAAGTAGTGGGAAATTCAGGGCAACGAAGCATTCCACATTTGTGAGATTGTGCTATTTTGTAATTCCCACCGTGGTGGTGCCTAAAGGTCCTCTTTTTTGAACAGAGAACCAGAACCGAGTGTCACAGTGTGTGGCTTACATGCTTCCTTTCCTGGTTCCTGGTACACACTAAATCAGGAGCAAGTAAATACACTCCCAAGTGTTCAGCATCTCTCCTCCCCGAGAAAGACCTATCTCTCATCCCTTCCTCCTGTTCCCTGGCTGGGGCCTTGACCCCAGGACTTTCATGTCACCTCCAGCTCTACTGGTTTGCTCCACCCCAGTGTAAATGCCCAGTAAACATTTTTGCATTTTAAAAAATAAAGTGATGTAGGTAGAGGACCAGGCAGACCTCTTAGGGACATACTACATCCTGGCACTTAATAAGTATTAATGACTCTTATTTCCATTCTATATAAATCAGGTCTCTGTGTCACGTCTATCTCGACATTTCAAGGAGGCAGGGAATAACAATCTTGAAGGTTTCTTGAGTTAGTTGCCTTTGGGCACTAACTCAAGTGCAAGCATTATAACTTGGTGAATCATCAATCGCGTTATTTTTAAATAAAATGGGTTGCCAAAGGAATCAACTCATTAGAATCAGACTCGAGGGTTCTGATTATAGAATACAGAGGTCTGTGTAAGATGGTCACTCTAATAGCAACAAAAATATCAGGTAAATTAAGAAAAAAAAAATCTTATGTTTCTTGAAAGCCATTGAAGATTGTTCAAAAAAAAATAAAATGCAAAATAATAATAATAATAAAAATTATAAGTCTAAGTAAAATGGAATCCAGAGAGGAGAAGGGCCTTCTTGGGTGAGCAGACAAGAGACCATCTCAATCCCCAAGGGAGTTTCTGAGTCTGGGGCAGAACGGCTGCAGGCAGAGGGACTTTGTGCAAACAAGGAGACATCAGCCAAGCTCTTAAAGGCTGTTCCTGGACTTGCATGGTGGATTCCAATTTGGAGGAGCCCAAGACTCAAAATTAAGCCTTCCCCATCCACCAATTCAGCCCCACGGGAATTTTATTCAAAAAGTAGAGTAATCAGAAAGCCTGGAATAAGGTCTAGAAAGCACAGAGGGAACTCATAGTCTCGTGGTGCTTGGACTCCCAAATTCTGCCAAAAGTAGGGGCCTGATCTCCCCGAAGACATTTGATCCAGGGGTGAACTGAAACTAACTCGACTGGTAACCCAGCCCGGATTCTGCTCAGCTGCTAATTAGATTGATGAGCTCAGCCCTTAACTGTTGCTGCTTGTCAGGCAGAAGGTGACCCCCTTCTGGAGGAAATTATAACCGTCTTTAATCTCTACTGGTCTTTTAGATACTATGGCTGAAATATAAATAAAAGATTATGACATGCAAAGAAAGAGGAAAATGTGACATATAGTCAAGAGAAATAAAAACATGTTGATAGATACAGACACACAGATGACCCATACAATGAATTTTTTAGCAAAAAAGAGATATTTTTATAAATATATTAAAAAATTGAGAGGACAGGAGGGACATAATGGGGCTAGAGATGGAGAATTTTGGCAAAAAATGAAAACTGTGCAAAAGAAGCAGATAGCAATTCTATAACTAAAATATATCTTTTAAAAAAGATACTAAGTTTCTTTTAAAAAAGAAAC